GTAGAATCAGATACAAAGCTGATAGAAATAAAAACACATTGAATCAACAAAAGGAGCCATTGTTGTTTTCTTATTTCTGTCTTTTTTAGTCAGTGATGACGTCCGTCGCGGTAAACTCAGCAAACATTTCAAACTAAAGGAATCTTTATTTATAAAACTTCAAACGTTGTTAGACCTGCCGCTGCCAGGTTAGGGTTAAATTCTTAAAGCTGCATTAATCACTGTTATGGAAAGATGACTGTGTGTTTTCTTATAGGTTAATAATTACTGTGTTTGTCAGATAAGGGATGAGAGACGTGATGAACTCTGACTCACTGTGATGTCTTTACCAGCCCAGTTACACTCCTCCCTCCAGTCGACGGGGGCCGGCCAGTAGATCTGAAACACAGCAGGAGACGTCGGATCAACCTGAGGTCTTATGTCCCGGACTCATTTACTGACGTCTGCTTATAATGTTCCCTTGAGCAAGGCACACTTCAAATGAGACACCAGAGGGCTGGAAAAGGTTTTCACCTCGCAACCTTCAGTGTCTCCCTTCTTCCTTTCTTTCTCTCCCTCACCCGTCCTCTCCTGTCGGCTTCTTTCTCCTCATCATCCTCCCTCCTCACCCCGCTCTCACCCCCCTCCTCACCTAACTCTCTGATAACATCAGTGATAATAATGATTGTTCAGACAACGTGTAACTGGTTGTAAATAAAACGACTTCCTGATTCGTTTCTGTCCTTGATCTAGTTTGTAATTAACAGTGAAGCAGTGAAGTAAATTAATGACAGAGACACATCAGGTCAGTGAGAACATGTTGAGGTAAAGAGTATTATACTGCTTTGTTTTGATGGACTACAGTTGTGTGTTTGGCTGAGTCAGCATCAGCACACATATTTATGGTTACAAAAGCTCTTTGACTGATGGTGTTTCTGACCGACCTTGTGCTCCTGTTTAGCAATGTTGTCCAATGAGAGTGACAGTAGGAAGTTCTTGGCCCCGACGAAGAGACGGCCTCTTTCTTCATCCAACAGCAGAGCGCTGAAGCAGCAGGAACGCTCCAGCTCGAACCGACGGACGCCATGGAACTGCTGCAGCTCTGAAACACACAGATACACAGCATGAGAGAGGACGACTCAGTCTGTCACATGTGATACTGAAACACACAACAGAGGACCACGCAGTCTGTCTTCTGTCACACGTCATGAACTGACAGTCTCCTATAGTTCCAGTCTATTACACACTGTCTGATCTGGACGAGACTCCGCCCTCCAGCTACCTGCTGCACGAATGAACAAACAGAATAATCACCTTCGTAGAATTAGAAAAACAGTCAAAGGTGGGCTGGGTGACGGTCGCAGGAAAGTGTGAGTCTGTGAGTGTGTGATGTGTCTTTGTGTTGTCTTTGTGTTGTCTTTATGTGTGTGTATATCAGTGTTTCTGTATTAATATAACAGAAAAGACTCTGGTCACAGTTGGTCAATGTTTCAAACCAAGTTAACAACCAAGTCTTTGTTACCGTGTTGGATCTAAGGAGTTCAACATGACTTCCTCCTGTTGTATGTGACAATTTAAACAACATTTATTCTTCAATTATGGCCATTGACCGTCTGCTTATTATTTTGTCTTGAATAAAGAAACAAGAATAAACAATGAAAGACTATGTGATCCAATAATCGATGCCAAAACAACCTAAAGTCATAAGATCCAAATCAGTTAGTTGGCCACCAAGCTGTAACAAGTCATGGGGTTGATAAAGAAGATTACCATTTCATTTTAGTGTTTAAATATCATTTGTGAGTGTATCCTGAGGCCAGGGACTTGTGAACAGTCAGGACAGAATCCTATGACAGTAATGACACTGTATTGGTTTCAATGGAAAAACTGAGAGTCCTTGCTGTTTCCAAACTGGCGAAGTTGTTGGGGAACAGTACCAGGAAAATCCAGCTTGTATTTGTAAACTGTGGCTGTAATAGTTAGTCAGTGGAAAGAAACAGTGTGTTGGCTGCAGAAATAAAGGGACTGCTGGTCTGGTTTAAACCAAGAGACAGAGAAGACCAGGGCTTCATGTAAAACGGCTTTATTAGTCTTCCATTGTTCTAATGTGAATTTATAAGTTTAATTAAGGCTCTGACACCACCCAACATCCTGCATGACATCAGGCCCTTTAGGTCAACTCCTTGTTTTATATTAATTTGCCGTTTTCAACAAATGTGTTAATATTCTGTTCCTCTGTTCTGTGGTGACAATTAAACCCAAAGAAGACACGTATTAAAAATGACACGTGTTTAAGGTGAATACTGTAAATGATTGAAAAAAAAAAAAACATGAGGTCAGTAACTTTTAAATAAATCCAAATGTCTGTCAGTTTGTTGTCTCTCCTCACTTACTATGTTCCCATGTTATTGATGAAAACAGAGAGGCAACACAAACATGTACCACGTCCTCAAGTCTTAATATAATAATGAGAAGTCTACAGCCACTGTAGCTGGTGACAACACACACTCACACACTTTAA